TCCACGACGCGGTATCAAAAACTCCGGAGTCGACTTGTTGATTAGTCTAACGAGCACGCGGTGCTCGATTCGTCTCTTCCGGCGAGTTAAAAGATTCTCAACGCGCGTTATTACGCGCCATCTTGAACGTGGGATCCTAGTTAATCCCATTTATCAATCGTCACTGCGACCGGTGATAAACGTGATTATGTTTACGCGTCCGGGTGAGAGGCTGAAATTTGCCAGACGACGTTCAACTCCTTTGACGAACGTTCAATTTTCCTTTCCACGCTCGATTCAGTGTCTTTGCCGAGCCTTTGAGCACACCTCGGAAACTTCACAGAACAAACGCTTGTGTTCGTTTCTTTGCCCTCTAATTATCGCACTCTCTTCTCTCGTGTCGCGAGCTGTGAATTTCACAGAGAGTCGTTCAACGAAGAATCAAAGGACGATGCGATGCAACTGTGATCGAGTAACTGGAGCGGGTGGAATCGGATAATCTACGCTTTTTATATATACTCTTAGGCTAGGACTACACGAGCGTGCTATACTCGTTTTCTCTCTGCCGCGGTAGGATTCTGACTTGAGCATATTGAATACAACGGGTGTTGCATTTAGAAAATATTTGTTGCATTGAAACACGATGTACAACACGCCCGTGCGTGTACAGTTCATAGTTTCATATCGGATGTCTCTCCGGTCCGTTTGAAGGTTCCGCGCTGCAAAAATGTCGAACGATCGCGAAACGAATGAGAAACGATGGAAGCGAACCACGCGCAATCTGGTAACGAGTGCGCGCTCGCGCGCGCGCGCGCCAACCGGTTTTCCCTTCGAATCGATACGCTTCTTTGTACATCGTGTTTCCGCTCGGAATTCGCATTTTTTTTCTCCGGCACCGATCAACACACCGCGGAACGCGAGTATGCGAGCAAGCGTGAGCGATTAATTGGCCACCGGCGCGGCCGTGCACTGAGCGTTGCTCTCTGAGCGACACCGCTCCGATACAACTAACAACGAACAAACGAACCGCGACGAGGCTCGCAGCTTCGTACGGAATTATCGTGCGAACTATCCAAGAGAGGAGAAGCGAACCTAATCGGAACACACCGGGCAAGAGATAGAATTCAGATCGAACTACCTTGAAAGAACAGACAGATCCTAGAATCTTTAATCGTTGGATTCGAATTCTTTTCAAGTATTTCCAATGGTGTTTTCAAAGGTACTCGAATTTTGGATAGCTTCGAATAAGCATTCGTTCCAAAAATGAAAACAGACTCGAATGCTAATGCAGGAATATAATAGATTGAATCTTTAATCTTTTGAGTGTTTCTAAATTTTCAAATACTTTCAAACATACTCGAGTTTGCGATACTTTCGAACGAGCATTTGTTTTCTGAGTACTTGTGAAAATGAAACAGATTCGAATATCGATGGATAGTGGATCGAGTACTTTAGTTTACGTTTCTGTATCTCTTTAAATGTCTTCTTTCTTTGGAATATTTTATTTATAGAAAACGTGATAATACTGATTGTGTTAAATTGAATACAAAAGCTACACACATGAAAATGCAACATCTATTTTAGGTAAACCATTTGCATAAGATTTGCCTGTATCTCAGAGATTTTTGGTCGGGAAGATCAGAATTCTTGTTTCTCTGTGCGTGATTTTCGAGCACTGTTCGAGACGAACACAAAACGAAACTTGAACGTTGAACTTGACTTGGATTCGTAAGCGCACGTTGGACTTGATCCCATCATCCCGGTGAGAGGAAACAAACGCGAGAAACGAACGCGGTACATACCTAACGAGAAAAACGAGCAAAGGGAGAGAGGAGGAGAGAAATGAGTCTGAGTCGATGGGCGAATCGATGGTGGCGGTCAGGTCGGGCCGACGTGGATGGAAAACTGGCGTGCAGAAAGAACGCGGTGTTGCGTGTGTGCGTGTAGGTTTGTTTGCCAACGTATGGAGGTTCGGATGTTGCCGAGGAAATTATTCAACCTCGTCCACGGAACGATTTTCGCGGTCGGCTGGTTAAACATTTCGCTGCGGCTGATTCACTTTCCGTTAATGGATATTCATATATTCCCGTTCCAAGCTATTTGCTCAGGCGTACAGTTCTAGGACACTCGTTGAAAACTTTGCCTCTGTCTCGTAAACGTTGTTCCCCTCACGCGCGTTTTCCATTGACACGCGACAACCACGAGACGCGCGAGTAAAATCGCTCGGAATCACACTGCCGAGGTGTGTCTTACGTCAAGGCGGATCTTATTCCTGGGGAAAAGACACGGCGGGTAGATTCAGGTCGTGGGATAGTTAACTATTTAGCCGAGCATCAGGTTAAACCAGAATAGAGTACGCGCAACGTGATTGTCATGGTAACTAGAATTTAGTTCGTTTCGAACGACAGACTGGAATACACATCTTGATTTTCAATTGGGAGATCCTCCGATATTTCTACGTCCTTCTCTTCCGGTAAATCAGCCGGGCTGTCAGACTGTCGAAACAAATTTATTTAACGTTGGCTAAATCGATCATCGTTCCGAGCTGATCAGTTCCCTATACGAATCGTAAATTCGTAATTGTATATAAAATATTCAAAATAAGCTGCACGTTGTCAACGATAAGGCCTATTTAACTTTCATATTTTCAATCACGTTCACGAAAATAATATTAATTTGCACAAACATCCGCAGTTCTTTCTCAGCCGATCGAACAGGTATCTCTCATGTCAGCTACCTAAACTTGCTCGTTACGTTTCCCACCCTCGTAGATTCCGAAACGCAAAAGATTTTCCAGTGCAATCGTTGCGATCTTCGATCCCAATTCGAAGACTGTTCCTTATTTCAATTTCTTATCTTTCTCTCTTTCGCGTGGTTATCGTCACCGCGACTTCTACGAACCGGTAAATCGCTGGCAATTCTCAGCTACCGATAACGGCGGCGAACGAGGGAGAAAAGCAAAGGAGAGGGAAGAAGCACCCTCTCGATGGTCGAAGCTCGTTCGACGACGATCGAGACTTCCTTAACGCCGCCCCCTCAAGGGATTAAGATCGGATATCTCGAAGGTCAAACTGTAGCCGTTAGCCGGGTGAGACAACGGATAATCCCGCAATCACGGTCGAGCTCTCGTTCCAATATATATATATGTACATACACTATAGGTATACACCGAAGGGTTCGATTAATCGTTCTGTTGGAAGTGGCGCGGATAAGAGGACGGGCATACTTTCTTCTGATCGAATCGAATTCCACGGGCGTTATTTCACTCGGAGGAAGAACGAAGTTGGCCGACGCGATTCGATCCCGTTATCGTCGAGACGACGGGTTACACGTATATACGAAGTTTCGTTATTTTTATCGACAGCTCGCCTAGCGGCGGAAGAATCCATCAACGGATGGTATATTCGGTTACGATTGATTCGTCGTTCACCATTCGAAACGATACTGCGACACGCTAATTCGCGACAAACAGCGCGCGACTCGTTTTAATCATTTATTTCTCCCGCGCAAACCGATTTTCCGCTGGCGCTATGAAGAGAAAAAGAGAAAGAGAGAGAGCTCTCTGGTGATCTGGTTATTTTTAACTACGAACGAACCTGTCGAGAAATTATGCTCTTACAGAAATCGTTACGCGCGATAAAGCGCGTATATCGGGCAAAGTCAATTTATCGCGCGAGTGCGCTCCAGCCGGTCCGATCCGGTGCGGTGTTGTGGACGTCGTCGAGTTTTCGGGGACAGGAAAAGAGAAAAAAAATCAAAGTGTGTGTGTGTGTGTGTGTGTGTGTGTGTGTATGTGGAGCCCGGTGAAATTTCTTTCGGTGTCTGACGGTAGCGCAGAGTAAACGCGGAAGCATCGATGTCACAGCCTTCGAACGAAGCGTGGAACGTGCAGTTGCGACTAAACGATCGCATCGAAAACCGATATGGCTACCCTTTCGATACGCGAAACGTTTACACAGCGCTACGTACGTACAGCGAGGCTGTACACACCGTGCAGCTGCGACGAGAAAAATGTTGGCAGAACGTCTCTGTGGTTCGACAGCTGCGTGTCGGTCGACGCAGGTCTCGTGTGAACGATTACCATACGTCGTTCCATTCAAAGCAAGTCGTTTGGTTATTATTATCATTATTGGCAAATTACTGCTTGCCAACGTCAAATGGTTACGGAACGGAGAAACGAACGAATTTCACAGCCGAAGCAGAAGTTTCAGAAGTAGATTCTTTCCCGAGAAGAACGGGAGCTAGGAAGCGGGAGTAAATTTAGAGGAGAAAATGCTCGTAGCGAGAGAGAAGGGGGGGGGG